TAAGGGGTTTGAAAGATGGATAGCCGATTCTCTGACTTACTGAATATGCAAAAAAAATTCATAAGAATCGGTCGAGCCGTTTCGGAGGAGTATGGGAACAAACATGGATACGAGAATTTTATATATTAGATACCTAATATTCTAAGTCCAGTGTTTGTCAAGTTTATTAATCAATATATACCAGCCGAAGTTGCTAAGTTACATATAACCTGTTTGTGTAGAAGCGCATTTGAAAGTAATTATCGGATAATTTATTAATCAATCGACTTCAAAAAAGGGGGAGGCTGACATGTGAGTGTGATGATATATTAAGGCTTTTTATGTGTACTGAAATTGGTGAATGTACTATATATACTTCAATCTACCTCACTTACAACCTGAATAGTCTAAACTTCATGAAAATCAGTTAAGTAGTTTTTCAGGTATGTATATGTTGCGTTTCTAGAAAAATGTTTGATATAGGTACCTAGTAAAATATAAATAACATCATAGTATTATCATTATAATAGTAGGTTTTGTTTTCAATTAATTTACCATAATTATATTTTAAAAAAATATCTTTATTTATTTACTACACAAAGGTATTATTTTATTACTTATAACAGTAGACACATAAAAAATGTGTATTATGACAGACTTAACAAATTTATATTATAGTATTGTCTTTGATTAACATAACTTTTATTCATTTAATAAAACACTATTTTGACCGGATTGAAGTTATGTATTATTATAAATTTACAACTATTTAACATAATTTAAAAAAAAAAAGTCACCGTGACCACGCACGCTGTAAAGCACGCGAAACGTCGGATAAATTTAAAATTATGTTAAATAGTTGTAAATTTATAATAATACATAACTTCAATCCGGTCAAAATAGTGTTTTATTAAATTTATATTAGCTCCAATTCCTCTACTAGTGAACAAATTAGAAAACTAATACCAGTTTCCCTACATACCATCAAACTTTTGACATCTAAATAGGTATGACAGCCTAGTCCATATATCAATATAAAAACAAGGTCCATTCTCAATCAAAAACCCTCTAACATGTGTGTGTACCTTACACATTCACACGCGTGTACTAAAACGAAGGCTATATTCGTGGGATCAATTCGGGATAATTTTTGTCTCTCAGTATCGTATATTCGGCATGACACTTTTCTTGTAACAGTTTATCTAATAAAGGGGAGGTAGGCGGTGGGGGGAGATAGGATAAAGGACAGGGGGGATCAGGAGAAAGGAAAAGGATACAGAAATGAAATGTCGGCTAATACATATTATTTCTATTTATGGCATTGTTAGAGTTCGTGCTATTCTGAACCTTATGGGCGTAGATGCCATCAGTGCATGAATTCATGAAATCTACGTCTTTTTTTATGTAATAGAAGCCAAACGGGCAGGAGGCTCACCTGGTGTTAAGTGATACCGCCGCCCATAGACACTCATATTGCCAGAAGGCTATTAAGAATCGGTACGCTCTTTTCTTGAAGGACCCTACGTCCAATTGGTTTGGTTCTTCATAGTAGTGGTGCGCGGCAAAACCTGCCTTAAGAAAGCTCTATTGTGGAACCACGCACGTCGGGTTAAGTTCATAAGTTCTCATGTGATTTTTAAACAAGTATATCATTTTTCTAACACATTTTAAGTATCTGATTGTCCTTGTAACATAAAATAGAATACAAAAGAAAGCTTAACAAGGTTTTCGGAGAATAACACTTCTTAGGGTGCGTCCACATCTGGCGAATGTGCCGCGAATGTGCAGCTCGCGAGCAGTTTGCGAGCTATTCGCCAGATGTGGACGCACCCCTACATAAAAGCGTATTTGCATTATTTACTCGACATTTGGCGTTTGACGTCCACTGCTGGACATAGGCCTCTTCCCTAAATTTCCATTCCGACAGGACCCTGCGCTTTTAAACGCCTTCCCTCACCAGGTCCTCTGTACATCTAGTGGGAGGCCGCCCAACGCTTTGCCCACTGGTCCTTGGCTGAACTGTCTATTCCAGGACTTTTTTGCCCCATTGTCCATTCGAGAAATGTGCATATCAATTAAAGAAGATTTATATAAAAGTAAATAATGCAAGTATTGGGTACGAAGGGGAAGCAGTTGTCATTCCTACCTCTCCTATCCGGAGTTCAAACTGGAACATTCCTTTCTGCCGCGAGCGGGAGTTTGCGTGTACGCCAGGGAGGATATCTGTTCTCGACACATTGGGAAATAATTATTAACGGCCAGCTCCTGGGGTATCCAGTAAACTGCCAGCTGATTAGCGACTGTGTCGGAAATAAGACTTCAGTCGTGGTCGTGGTCAATTGAGTCCAAGCGTGAGGCGCTGGTGTTTAGTTTCGACTGGACGTCAAGGAAGAATACGAAATACCACCTCAACGTCTGTCGTTCTACAACTGTATCATTCATCATTCACCAAGTATTTCCGACCCAATTCGACTCAGGGCTCTTTTTTAAAAGCCGGCCATGCACTTGCGAGCCATCTGACATTGTATGTCCATAGGCAGCGATGCATACTTCATGTCCATGAGCGGTGGTAAAATCTAGCCCTTATAAAAACATTACTTTAAAATTAACAAAGGTAGTTATAACTATAAAGGCACTAACTAAAACCATCAGTCAGAGTCGACTTAATGCCATATTCAAATAACTCCCGTAGCATTCAAAAAATTAAAGGCTAATTTAGTTAATATTAGTAAAACACAATTTGATATTTAAATTCTCCATTTATTTCCGTTCCCAATCACAAACGTTCTCGCTCTATTGGTCCAGACATAATTCATTCCAAAATTTCATTCGTTCATAAACCACTTAATTATAAATTTCATTATTATATATACATTTTTACAATTGATAAAGCGTGACATATACACAAAAGATTTACGTTAACGGATTTTTAAATTGGTTATATTTTATTTACAATATCTATAGGACGTTGACTATGGAGTTTAAGTTATACAAATATATCTCAGCCACACTCAGAGTTGTCAAGCCATCTAGTAAATATTTTTTACAATTCCCCATTGAACAATCGAAAGAAGACAATATACCTTTGATTCGTTAAAACACTTTTAACAAACAAATATGGTGGCGCGGGGCATATTCCGTTCAACCAATCAGCGCGCGAGGTACGATCCGTTTCACAATTTGACGGTTTCACTTCGATAGATTACAATCTACCGAATAATTACGTTTAATTGTAAGCAGTGTGTTGAGGTTCACAATCTCGCAAGATAGATTTCAATCTAACGGTGTTTACAATTTTACGGTGACATATACACCGTTCTTTAGTATAAGTATAATGGGATAATCAAATTACTGCTGATTATCTCCATAATTTTTTTCAAATCATTCAACAACAATATACTCGCATTGGTTATATTTCCTTAAACAGTAATAAAAAATGTTTAGGAGATGAGGTAAAATTAAATAAGATATATGTGTTGAAAGCCTTCTAAATCATGAACATGTATAGTGTATACCAATGACACAAGTAAAAGTGTTTTTACGTTGAATACAAATATAAAAAGTTACACTTTTTATTTTTGATCGAGTGTGATGATACATTTTTCGTAATTTGGTATTAATCAGCCAGGTATTATTCGGTAACTTATATATAGTACACTGACTATATATATGCGTTAACAAACAACATAAATTATATTGGAACAATGTCTCTTCATGCTTCCGTGAAGTCCCAAATACGACCGCACAGCACTGCTAGTTTCTACTATAAAATTGTATCGTTCGTGCTAGGAGAGCTGGAATATTAAATGAAAGATTTCTTCTATGATAACGCGTTTATTATGGTGGTCCAAAATAGTCATAATATACCTTCAGGTCCAACCACAATCAAAGGAAACGTGCCATCATTTTGTCTTTCGTTTGTTCTAAACCAGAAAGTTTGGGGAACTGTATCACAAGCTATATAAAATTCTAAGGAATCGCTATTTAAATAACAAATGATTTTGATGTATATAACTAATATAATTTTTGAATATTTTAACAATTCCATTGATTTATATGTCTAATATTAATATTTACAGATTAACAATATTATATTTGTATTAATATATCGTTAAAAATAGGAATGTTTTTATTCGAACACCATAAGATTTTAAATAGGGAATAGTTAGCTCAAAACTTTTGTTTCTGGCCTAAACCTATCGTTTTCTATATAAATAATTATCATATGTACAAGGTGTGTTATCATATGGAAAAGATTTTGTAAGTTAGGGTAAGATTCGGAAGACAAGACTTGAGAGCGCCCTTCCCCGTCCGACGAACGTCAACGCGAGCATGGCCAAAAAGCTTGTTGTTTCATCCAGCGCAATGTCAGCAAGTGAGAACGGGATAACATTGAAAGAAAAATAGTGTGCGGAAATTTCATAAAACTTGTTCCAAGAAATACGTGTTTTTTCGTAAGCCTTACACGATTATGAAAAAAAGTTTTACATTTAGAAACTCCATTACATTTGCAAGGTTTCTATGCAAATATTTCTTTCCGGTTACAATTAATGAGTACATTATAAACGCCCAAACTTCATATAAAAATTTGTGCAAAAAGGCTGATTTTTGGAGGTTTGTACTGAATTTGTTTCTTAAAATTTTGATTTCCCGTTTTAATAGAAACCTAGATATAGTGCACAAGGTGCCTATTAGTTCAAAAGTTTCAAAGAAATATCTGTTACAACGCCAGAATCACGTACGAGCGTTTGTATGAAAAGATAGACGGGTTGGCCGCTCTTAACGTGAATTTTAACTTTTGTATCTCAAACTCAGTCTAGTTTCTGAATCTTACCCAGACCCAAGTTCAAAAACCACAGTAAATCCGTGTGAATCAAATCTCATGTTTTCATCGATAGAATGTTTAAAGAATATCTAGGACACAGACTTACTTCTACAATAATATGTTCTTTTATTAGTGTTATTCTAGGTTTATGCCAGATAACTTAATTGTATGCTTACACCAAGTAGAGTACTATACCTCATACTTGTGTAGCATTGTCAACAGCCAAGTAATTATTTAAGTCACACGAATTTCTTTTCCTATGCCCACTTGTTCTTAAACTAGCACCAACTATGTTCGCTCGCACTCTATCCTTAAGGACTTCATTTTCAAGATTAATTTTAAGAGTCTTCTCTGCTCTTTGGGACACCAGTAACTGATTGTGGATGTTGGGGGAACTTACACTGTTTCTGGGTATCGTGGCATGAGGTGTTCCAGGTGCTGGCGATGGCGCTGGTTCTTCCTCAAACCTCATCTTCACAGGACCGATATCCATATCACTCTTGTTTAAACTGTAATATGTTCCTCCAAACATCTTTGTATTAAAGTTTTCGTAATATGGTATGACGCCATTGAGGGTGGAGAACGGTCGTAAATCACTATCATATGGTAATCTTCTTGGTAATGTAACGTATCCTTTTGGACTCATGAAGATGTTGGCAGCTTGTAAGCGGCTGTACAATGCCGGGCTGATGCTTATGACGTCGTAGTTGGGTGATTTTGGACTCTGTCTGTCATGTGCAGCTGAAGAGCTCTGAGCGGTTGATCTAAGAGGTATTGAGAGTAGATCGGGTGGATATGTCTGTGGGTCCTTCGCTATTCGATCTATTAGCAGCTCCTTATGTATTGATAGTTCCTCCTGTCGGTGATTTTCTTCTACAGCTGTGAAAAAAACAATTTGTCATCATCATGTATTTTTTAGCTCTCAACACAAACAGTCTTATAGAATTTTATGCTTATAGCCAAATCTAAGTTATGATAGTCAAAATAAGTACTATTTAATAATAGAGATGCCTTTTAAAATTTGGATACTATACGTACAATGGCTCTCGGATTACTAGTATTGCTAAATATAATTACAAATTTATTGTCTTTAGAAAAGTAAATTATTAAATTGTATTTTTTTGAAACCTAAATAAATTAAACTCAAACTCAAATTACTTTATACATACAAGTAACCAAGTATACTTATGATCGTCAAAAGAAAAGATGTTAAATTGATTCAAAATTTACATTTACTATCAGTTCGCAAGTCAAGCGCGTAGAGCGGGCAAGAAGAACTGACAAGATACTCTCCGCCACTCTTTTTAACTGTCAAGTTTTGAGTCATACAAATTGTTTGAAGTGGAGCAAATCAATCCCAAGGATTACGATAATTTAAATAATTTATTGATTAATTTACGTTTACAAGAGTTTTGAATTTATTTAATTTAAAGTAAAAATGGAACAAATGTAACATAAGTTTAAAGCAAAATAGAAGAATGTCTTACTAAGCTAATACAATTTACTTAGAGATTTCGAGTAGAAATAAATACACGATACTTTTGAAGCGTAAACAATGTTGGCCTATATAATAGGTACCTATATAATGATCACCTATTTGCCTAGTGTTCTAAAGACCAATTTTGGTAACGGTTATTCGACCTACTCGTATTTTGTGTCCAATTATTTTTCGTATACTGTTAAATATCACAGCCTTAATTTTAATAGTGAAATACGGAGGATGTCAAATTATACCCGACATTCTGTATAATTTATAGCTCGCTAACTATTTTCAATGAAACATTCTTAACACTGACGTGCTTTAGTCCATAAAATTTAATGAGGTTTGCGGTCCTTTGTACCGAAACCTGATTGAAGTAACAAAACAACAGGCGTTCCAAATTTACGGTACATCAAAGGGTTGGAATTAGTTTTGTCTGAAAAATTCTTTTGTTTCCATAAGTGTGTTGTTATGAAACGCGTGTCGATTGGCACTTTAGTTTAGAGACACTTGATGATACGGTTTTGAAAACCAATTTTTTTTTTCGAATAAAATCGAAATACTAATAATGAAAAACGGACCAGTTTTGTTCGACGTCTATGAACATCATGATGTATCATCATACCTTCCATGGAGGGTTTGGTTGGTTTCTCCCAACCTACCAGAGACGAAGAGAAAATTTACTTTGGGTAATATTCAGAGTCGAAATTTACTCGAGAAATTTTGATAAGTTTGACTCCCAAATATGAAGAAGGCATTGCATGTTGACATACGTAAATCATAGTTCTCGCTGGACCTTGGCTTTTACCCTTATAATAAACCCAGGTGCCACAGTTCCAATACGAAAGCGCTTGGCTAAATGACCCATGATGTCAGTTTTACCCATATAAAACCGAAACGAGTGCAATATATTTGCCCTTATTTACAATATTGTTTTCTGAGTTAAGTATAAAAAATCTCACCTATATATGCAATAGTCTTTTATTACTGAATAAAATTATATGAAAAGGGAAAAGTTCCTGGTGATTTCCATTTTTCGGGAAATTGCGAGGAAAAATGCCTATAAAGAACCGAGTAATTCCAAACTTATACCATTCAGAAAGTTTCATTACAAAAATCGCTTTGATAACGATTTCATTCTATTATCAAATTATTTTTGGAGGTAAATTGGAAGATATTAGAAGAATTATTTGAAAAATACATAAATGTAATTTATACAGTTTTGGAGATATGTCAATTTTCAAGAGGATGAAATAGTATTAGAACCAGTAGAAATGCTCGTGTCAGAGTGATGTAACCAAACTCCTCCTCCTAAAGCCTAGATCGAATTATGGAATTTTGTATAACCCCCAATTTATGATTGGGCCACTTCAAAAGTTAATTACTTGGTCTAATTGTTTTTTTTTTTGATACCAGTAGCCCCTATTTCATAGAAATATTAGTCCTTTAATAATCTTTATATGGCAAAACAATGCTTCAGTCAGCTAGTAATAAATAATAAAGCAATGTAACCTACATGGGTTGCAAAAACTATAAATATTAGATCGGGCTAGTTCTTGCGATTACTTCTACAATACGAGAAAGTGTTGATTGCCCAATAATAATTAATAGTATAATATGCAATAAATAATTTTTGAAAACATTATCTGTATTTTTACTTTTTATTAATAGATTCGAATTATATAAGACGAGAAAACTCTGTCCCGGAAGTCTATCTAGCTATAAGTTAATAGTCTAAATTATAGTACAGTATGAGAGCAGTTTTGGCCTAGTGGCTGTGCACCAATGGACTTTCTATCTTTCTATTTATTTTATGTAATGAATAAGTTGGCGCCTCGTAGATAGTACCGGTGCCACAGCTGATGCTTTCCTCGCTCAACGAATAAGTATCGCAATACAGCGAAGAAATGCTGTCAGCGTTAAAGAAACACTGCCACAGGGACCAAACTTTTAAATTTTGTTTTCATTTTTTATTATTTATATTATTACTAAGAAGGTTAAGAAAATTGTAAAAACGTCATAATTAATTGTGTATATTTCGATGAATAAGTCATTTTGAGTACAGTAAAGATACCAAATTGTAGTTTTGTTCTAATTATTAAATAATACGTTTCATTATAGGGTATTATTACGTTTATTTAATTGTTAATAATTACGAAACAATGTACTAATGGGGAAGGTATGTTGCCTAAATTTTATTTTTAGATTCAAATATATTATTATAATTGTATCTAAGTTATTTTATAATTTAATTTATGTATACAATTGAATTAAGTATTGCGTAGTTTATGCTTTAAATAAACGTGAAATTTTTAGGAATAACATTTTCACATTACAAATATTAGGTTAGTTGAGAGCAAAGAAAAGCTTAAAAATATCTGAAAGTGGATTTTAGAGTTCATAGAAGTCGTTTTTCTAGACTTAACAATGTAATCTGTGTGCGCTGGAAAAGCGGAAAAACTTAAACGAAAATTGTGATGGAGGTATAAATTTACATTATTCCACGGTAATGTAGAATTTTCATGAAAACCATCTCAGTAGAAAAATACATATCTTTATTGTTATTGGTTACGTAAATAGGCTATATATTATGCGAGCTATTGCTTTATAGAGACAATTTAAGAAGGAAGTTTAATTTTTGGTTTATATTTTTTAAAAATAGTATTTAGACAAAATAAAGCTAGAAGTCCATACTCGTAGATATAAATTATGTTTGTTGATTGATATGACTATACAATTTTTTTAATAAACGGCTCAAATATAAGAGTTTTTCCTCCAACTTCGATTTTGTTCCATTTGGAGTAGAGACTCTTGGGCCATGGGGTTCAAGTGCACAAGTGCTAGTTAAAGATTAAAGTTGGCGCACGGTAGAGTACCGGTGACCCCAGAGCTGGTGCTTTCCTCGCTCAACGAATAAGTATCACAATACAGCGAGGAAATGCTGCCAGCGTTAAAGGTTGTTGTTGTTTCTTTAAATTTATTTTTTAATTATTTGTATAATTACTATGTAGGTTAAGAATATTGTGAATAATGTAGATTTTATTGTTATGATTATTAATAAACGTAATATCTATAATATTTTCTTTTAATGTTTTAGAAAAATCCTGTACCGCTTAATCGTCTACGCATAGATTTGCGTCTAAGGAAGTAATACATAATAACAATAAAAAATAACTTTAAAGGATACGAGTAAATCTAAAAATACTAAAATATAAATTACAACAATGAATTAATTGTTTGTCTAATTATATGAAACTTTTGAATGTATTACCTAAAACAGTATCGCTATCCAGTAGTGTCTTGTTCAATTCCGACATTTCTGTTGCTTGGCAGGTCAGCGTCGCGTCGTATTTCTTATTAGCTTTACAAACTATTTCACTTTTAACTAGTTTCTCAGGCTCAGACGCAACAGAGCCTTCTATAAGTGCATCACCATTCGATGAACGTGTATCTGTTTTAATCAGTCTTTTCATTTCACTGCTATTTGTTGTACAGTGGCAAAGAGTTATAACTGCCCCAAAAATTATTACTATCGCAGTGAGACTCCCAACCATTATTGCAAAAGAGTCCGCTTCCATACCAGCTATGGTTCCTGCTCCACTATACTTAGATAACACTAAAGTCAATGTCTTTTCATCTACACCACCTGGGTTTTCTGCTACACACGTGTAATTTCCTCTGTCTGTATATCTAGCGTGCAGTATCGTTAGATTCACCCATCTTATTAGGTCTAGTGAGTTGTCAGTAACAACATACCGGATTTCTCCAAACGACCTCAGCTCAATAGTTCTCCCGTTAAATTTCCATATGACTTCTGGAGTAGGGTTACCGACAACTTTACAAATCAGAGTCACGTTTTCGTCATAACTTTTGAACGTGGAATCTGGCAAGGGCTCTAATATGGTAGGCCGACAGGCGAAGTTTGACGAATCTAATTCGTTCCAAAGTTTGGAGCGGGTTGCAGCAGGCTCCGCACATGAAGTTGGGGGAGTATATAAATTGTGACTTATCACCCAATCCCGAAACGTTTGTAAATTGCAATCACATCGCCAGGGATTATTATGTAAGTCTAGGCCGGACAAGTTTCTTAATGCCATTAAAGTTTCGGGTTTCATGTGCCTCAGATTGTTACCGTCGATTCTAAGAATCTTTAACTGCGGTAAGTTTACGAAGGCCTTTGTACCGATTCGGACGATTCTATTATTGCTCACTTCGACTTTCTGTAAGTATTTTAAGTTTCGAAACAGTCCGTCCTCCAATTTGTCGATTAAATTATTGTTTAAGTTTATCAATCTTAGTTTCTCGGTGCTCCGGAACGTGTCGGGGTGAAGGAATCGTATTTTATTTTTAGATATATCTAACTCTATCATTATGGCTAATGTAGCGAATGCTGATTTATGTATAGATTCTAAGCTACAGTCCCTTAAGAAGAGTTTCTTGAGATTGCTTAGGCCTACTCGTTTGAAGGCTTCTTGGTGTAACTGGAGAAGATTATTATTGGAGAGATCTAATATTTGGATATCGCTACTTAGGTTGGCGGGTACGACTTTAAGGCTTGAGTTTGAGCAGATTGCAGCCTTATTGCCGGACTGCCACCGACAGTCACAAGGGCGCTGGCATTCTGTCGTAAAGTCAGTAACAGTCATGGAGATGGTGAGCGATATAAGGGATATCCTCAGCCATTTTTCCCAACATTTGTCAGCCATTTTGTTATGTTGGTCATTTCTTTGTGTCGATGCATTCCTGGTGAATGTTCTTCCTTCGTAGCATAAGGTATCTGAAACAAGGAAATGTAAATATTAATTGAATAATACGGAAAAACCTTCATCTTAAAGATATAGACGCTGTATTCAAAGTAGCATAAAGTACAGTTTGCACTCAAGATCAAGATAACACCCCAACGCTTGATGGAAAATCCATGGAAAACTAATATCAAGTATTCAAGTCAAACGTATACGTGAATCGTTCGATCTACGTTGTCAAATAGCAAGAAAATTACAAGAATTGGGACGTGTTCATAAGAATGGTGATAAGATTAACGCCATGATCAGATGGCAAAATTTTGACGCGCGTTTTCAAATTGCACGACAAGACATCATGGTATTTACATACAACCGACCACATGTTGTCAGCGAGCGTTGACGCGGCGCTCAGAGAAAACATCTCTATACGCAAGCGAACGCGCGTTGACAGGTATATAACGTCCGTTGACGGTTCAGTTGTTCGCGCGCTTCCATTGCGATTTCACTTTTTTGTGACTTGTTTAGCTCTATCGAAACAGATTGACGAGCTCTCGCAACGCGCGTTAGCGCTTGTCGTTTGAACTCTTTATAAATATGATCGCGCGTTGACTTGCGTTAACGTGCCTTCCATGTGAACAAGGCCTAACGGCCTTTTTCTACAGTTTGTAAAAGCGCTAAGTATAAATTTACTTACTGATAAATATAGTTTACTGTAAAATCATAAAATTTAATTACAATTCACATGAGTAACATAAAATAAATTTATAGGCTATTAACATTTGCTAAGCTTATAAATAGTAATATTTATATCTGTGCACGATGGAATGGTTATATTTATTTTGCTAGTAAATAGTGTGATGCAACGGCCGGGGGCCAGGCGAGCGTGTGATGTGCTAACGTCTCGTTCATTCGCCTGAGGTCACTGACCACACCACACGCCGCACGTCAGTGACGTGCGCTTCGGTAGCTAAACGTAACGTACGAAAATATTCTAATATTTCTCCGCTTCGTTATCAACAACACCCTATATCTATTAGACTGTGTAAAGTCAACGACCGAATGAATAGGTCGGCTCATTTAGGTTTTTACTTCTTAACGTAGATTTTGTAGTCAAATCTGTGCTTTTGAGTTTCAATGCTGTTTCAAAAGCTAGCGCCTTTTTAAGCTTTTTTACTAACAGCTTAAGTGTCATTAGTAGTGACCTAATTTATTAACTAAGATTTTATTTAGATTTTAGCCTTATCGCCTCCGTGAAACAATGTTATAATTATTATTATCAAGACTTCAATAATATCAATATTGAAAATTGTAATATACAGTATTTACAATATTCTTAATCTACATAGTAATAATAATAAAAAAAATGTAAATAGAAATTTAAAACAAATTTCAAAAGTTTCGCAGGGTCCCTGCGGCAGTGTACCTTTAATGCTGGCAGCATTTCTATTTATTATTATATTGTAAATGTGGACGGAAAAACTTGACTGATTGATGACTCTGGCTGTTCAGAGCCAACTACTCTGTAGATGATATAAGTGATGGTGTATGTATATATAAGCACTGCGACAGTGGAGCACTGCGTCACTGAATTATTTCCGGATCAATTTGACTAAGGGAAAAAAGTGCCAATTCTTACAATACTAGCAACGCACATGCGACCCCTCTGGCATTGTAAGTGTCCATGGGTATCACTTAACATCAGATGAGCCTCCTTCCCGGTTGTTGTTCAACAAAAATAGTCAAAATCGATGGACGCTCTTACCAGTGGTTAAATTAGCATTAATTTTTGTATTGATTTATTTTATAACACTGCTTTTAATTTAATAGTGGATAGCGCGAAAATTATTCTATTGACCCATGATATGGATCTTTTATCTAATAGCTGTGTTAGCCTAGTGCGAATCTCATCCCTGAGGTCGTGCGTTCGAACCCAGGCTGCACCAATGGACTTTCTGTCTATGTGCGCGTTTAACACCCAGCTTAGTTTTTCATAAAATATATACTTAATATAAGTCTGGCGCTTTATTTCACATGATATCAAATAATAAAAACAAAGGAATGTGATGTTTTTATGGATATTTCACACAGGAATGGAACCGCACGCGATAGCTCACACGAAATGTGTCGTTGGCCTTGGTATCTTTAACTGAAAGAATATCTAGTAGTCAAATTATATTATTTTTACTTAAGTCGCAGTTTTATGATAACATCAATTTATGGTAATTTATTACATTAAGAATTTTGATTGTTCATAATGTAAAGTAATAAATAGGTAATACAGCTTCCTATATTGTCGACTTTTTTTTAAATATTAGCTTTCTCCGCAAACTTCGTTTCACCTAAATATAATTTTGTTACCTAGCCTATCCTTTTAGTACCAACATATGCAACATTTTGCCTTATAGAAACTTTTCGCTATTCCGGAATAAAACCTCAGTACTAAATTAACCTTCCTAAGAGTGCAAGGAACAAATAAGAAAAACAATTACTCAAAGATGGCTGATCTTCGAATTTTGCAACATATTTTGCGATTCATTTTTATTTGTATTAATTTTTGCTCAAATTTATCATTAGTGTGCGTAGAGAGAACCGTCGTAGCAGTTATGGGTATAATTTTTATTTGCTACGCGTCGCTACAAATAATGATGTCAACATAACCTTTTTGGCCTCAAATACCAAGAACACAGACTACTAAATTATTATACACATAATGTGTAGTACTTTGATAAACTCATTATGAAGCAGATAAGATATATCAAAGATCAATATTTAATTACACATCGAACAGAACAATGTCAATATATTCAAACATATATTGCTCAAGTACTTGATATTTATAACTAATACAGCATTCCACAATATCCACACTAATGCCAGGTTTCTAGGGTAACTGAAACATGAATTTATATGTACCAAAACCGCGAAGTATGGAGCTAGACAGGTACCCTAGGGAATTCCAGCACACGTTATTAAAATGTCTTTATTATGTCAGCATTTCGTAGGTGGAATTTGGATGCAAGGTGTTAAATAGTTTATATTAAAAGAACTTCTTGGAACAAATTAGTCTTAAAGCAATTAAAATATTATGCTTTGTTGATTTAATATTTATAAATGCCGGAGGGCCTCCAAGAAAATGAAACGTTGGTAGAACGATGCGCTGACGTTATAGATTATAGAAACAGAAAAGTGCTTTTGCCCAAAATCGGTCCATACTGCAAAGAACACAAACAAACGGTAATAACAAAACTAACGTAAAATCAGAGTATGTTACATATCCATTGCAATCCCTTTGCCCCGCATAACCAATACCTGTACCCCTCTGACGCAACACCGTTATAAAAAGAAATGGACAACAGATACCAATAGCTTTGATCGGATACCTCACATCGGACCGGTCAAATTCTCAATTAGTAATAAGTCTATAATATAGTTTATTTGTCGTGCACCTCATATCGGGAAGATTAAATAGTTATATTTAGTGAGGTCTCAGTTATTGTACTATCAATTAAAGTAATTTAAATAATTTTGTTTTTTTTTTGGGATTCATCGCTGGCCCTCACTTAGTATAATAACAACACAATTGATATTTATTTTTAACGGTATGGAGTGAGTAAGTGACTTTATTATTATTATTATTATAAAGGTCTACTACCTCAAATGGAACGTTGAGAACGTAAGAACAGCGCGATCCGTTTAATTGTGATCGGACGAATGAATCTATAGTCAAACACGTGTCAGCGATATGTCATGTTTATATAAAACAAATGAACAATATGTAGGGTTTTGTTTTATATTTAGACACAGTACACTTTTTTACCCACTGGGAATAAATTTATTGTCAATAATTTAATTAAATGTACTTCTCGCTTACTGTCATATTGTGATTACGATGTGATTAAAGGACTTTCATTTTTATGAACGAAAGTTTTATATGTAATATCATATAATCAAAGTTAGAAAGGATTTTATATGATGTGGTAAACTTTAATAAATAAATATATCCGAGGTTCAATGCAAATTATCGAATCATTTATACTTAATAAATTAATACAAAAGAACAATAATGACTTTGGAGCACTCGCGAAATTAATTGCAAAAGTTATAGCATTTAAATCGGCTCTTCGATAAATTATTGTGTAAATTGGTTTGTCTTTTTATTGCTATTTGATAGCTTAAATCAATTTAAGTTAGGTTAACAGATCAGTTTTTCATTATGTGCTAAGTATGCGTATTAGTACTATTAGCCAATGAATTTTGTATTTTCATACATTTGCTATATTACCCTCCCTTTTCGCTTAATTTTAGGTACTTAGAACTAATTCTTTATGAAAATTTTACGACGTTCATGCCGATTTAACTCTCAAAGTTCCAAATCTCGTTCGTAATCGCCATTTAAAGGGACTTTTCCTAATAGTAGACAATGTCGTTTTATGGCCAATAAACTGGAAATTTTTTACATATATCTTTTTTATTGATAGTGACTTTTGATATATATTGAAACGACTTCTGCGTTAGCGTTCGAACGTAAACTGACTATTTGAGAAATGTGTTGCATATATCCTATACTGTTTTACTAACGTTAACTGTTTTAACTGTTTTATTATTAACGTGCAAATTATATATATTAAAAACACTTAAAGTTTACTTTGAACATTATTTTATTTTAACGTTCTTTCCATAAAATCTTCATGTGAACTATTTATATCATATATTTTGATAGTTGTATGTGAGTTATATGAAGTTAAAAAGAGAAATGGACATATATATTAGAATGTTATCCGAGAGAGGATCACGTAAAAATATGGTCATATGGTCTGCCAGAGCAGGCTAGCCCTAACTGGAACAGAATGGGCAAAAATAGGAGAGGCCTATATCAGAAGACAACCAGCCTATAAAACTGGTTGCTTGTTTTTTCGACAATTATTTGTAATAAACTAATTTCGTAAATTATAATTATTAAATAT